TTATTCTGAAGTAATTTTGTTTGAGTTAAATGCTAGTCAAGAGAAGTGTAAGAGAGCTAAAAGGATGATTTTAGAGACTTTAAAGGGCAACTTTACTGATGGTTATAACAAACTAGAGACTTATGCCAATGAACTTAGACAGTCAAATCCAAGAAGTGATGTTATGATCAATGTGTCTAAGGTGACACTTGCTCTCAAGGTAGAAGAAAGTTTCTTGGAATGTAAATCTGCTTCAAGGCAATGAAGATAATGCTCGAGACCCTTTATTGGATTAGATGGCACATTTCTTAAAGGAAAAGCCAAGGGACAATTACTGGTTGCTACTGGTCAAGATTGTATGAACTACTTCAACCCTTTGGCTTGGGAAGTAGTAGATAAAGTGAACAAAAGTAGCTGGAATTGGTTTTTGGTGCTACTGCAGTATTCACTGGAGCTCCAAATGGGAGACGACATAACCTTCATGTCAGACATGCAGAAGGTAATATTGCTTCTTTCTTACTTTATTTATATCTTTATCTCTTACTTTATGATTTTTCTTGTATGTAAAAGTTTAATAGCTTGCCTTTCACATACTGGGATTAATTGATACAGTTAAAATTATACTATCAGAAGCACATCGTAGATTCTGTATGAGACATGTAAAGGCAAACTGGTGCAAAAGATGGAGTAAAGGGGAGCTGAAGAAACTACTGTGGTGGAGTGTATGGTCTACTTACGAGGAGGAGTTCCTAGACCATGTGAAGGATATGAGACCTATTTAAATAAAAAAGGAATAAAAAAGAGAAAGAAAAAATGATTTAGAAAATCAAAAGCAAAAGAAAGCAATTTGTGAGACCAATCAAAATTAAAAAAGTCAAATTTGGTTGGTTACATTGCACATGGGCAGCTGAACTTTGCAAATTGTAGAACCAATCTGATTGGTTGGGTTGGTGGCAATTTTGCCTATAAAAGGAGCTATTCGTTCCTCATTGAAAACACACCAAAACATAGAGAAGCAATAGAAGTTAGAGAGAGTAATCCACATATTATAGTCTGTGAGATAAATAATGAGTGTGAGACTATATTGTAGTGAGGTGTTTTAAATAAAGAGTGGTATTTCTTTCAAAATTGTAGTAATCTCTTGACACTACTAAGTTGTAATATTATAGTGGTAATATTGCTTCGCTCGGGTATTATATTTTACCCCGATAAAAGATTTGGTATCGTTGTTACTCTCTTGTGTTATTATTATTTGCCGTGGATGTTATTCCTGGGCGGAATATTATTTTTCCCCAACAATATGGTATTAGAGACATGACAAATAATGGTACGCTATCTTTTCAATACCCCCGTTTCACAAAAAATAATTATGAGAAATGGTGTCTACGCATGAAAGCCATTCTTGGCTCCCAGGATGTGTGAGAAATCGTAGACAGAGGGTATGCAAAATCCGATAATGAGGAAGCTCTACCTCAAAATGAAAAAGATATCTTGGAAAAGACAAGGAAGAAGGATCAACAAGCTCTCACGCTCATCCACCAATATTTGGATGTTGTCATGTTTGAGAAAGTGGCAAATGCTACTACCTCAGAGGAAGCTTGGGAGATTTTACAAAATTCTCTTCAAGGAGTTGACAAGGTGAGAAAGGTAAAACTTCAAACTCTAAGCGATGACTTTGAAGTTTTAAAAATGAAAGAATCTGAATGCATCTCGGATTATTGTTCAAAAGTGAAGGCTGTTGTAAATCAACTAAGAAGATACGGGGAGGACATAGAAGATGTCCGTGTGGTAGAAAAGATCTTTCGTACTTTAACACTTAAATTTGATTTTGTGGTATGTGCTATTGAGGAGTCTAAAGATTTAGACTCTATGATGGCAGAGCAATTGGAGGGTTCTTTACAGGCCCACGAAGAAAAGATCAAAAGGAGACAAGAACTGCCATTGGAACAACTTCTTAAAACTCAGACATCCTTCAAGGATTATGGAGGTGAAAAGAGCTATCGAGGGAATGGACGGGGATGAGGCCGTGGCAGTCATGGAAGAGAAAGAAGTAACGGTAACAACTTCAACAATGAAGTTAAAATCCACCAAACATTTAGAGGTCGTGGTCGTGGACATAGAGGAGAAAGATGACGTGGCTACTATCAAGAAAATAATGGACAAAGGTATAAAAAATAAAAAATTTAGTGTTATAATTGTCATAAATTTGACCATGACTCTTGGGAATGTCGTAGCAATATTGAAGAAAAAGCTAACCTCGTTGACGACAAGAAAGAAGAATATGAGTCAATGTTGTTGATGACACTCAAGGAAGAAGACAATAATGATTGCAACTCGTGGTATTTGGACAATGGAGCAAACAATCATATGTGTAGATGCAAAGAGAAGCTTGTGGAGATCAATAAAACGGTGAGAGATAATGTGTCCTTTAGAGATACCTCAAAGATTCAAATCGAAGGGATATGTACGATTTTGATATCCTGTAAAGATGGTAGTCATAAGCTAATTCAAGATGTTTATTATGTGCTAAAATTAAAAAGTAATATTTTGAGTTTGGACCAACTTCTTGAAAAGGAATATGACATCCACATAAAAAATATACATCTTTGGCTTAGAGATTAGGTGGAATTCTAATTGGTAAAGTGCATATGACAAAGAATAGATTATTTTCTCTGAATCTTAAAATAATTTATGCAAAGTGTTTGAAGGCTAATGTGCAAGATGAATCATGGTGTTGGCACATGCGATTTGGGCACTTGAATTTTGAAGCACTCAAAACAACGGGAGAAAAGAACATGGTGCATGAGATACCATCAATAAACCATCCCAATCAATTGTGTGAAGCTTATCTTCTTGGAAAACATGCAAGGAGGAGTTTTCCAAAGGAGGCCATGTCAAGATCAACCAAACCGCTCCAGCTTGTTCACACTGATGTGTGTGGACCAATCAATCTGGTTCTTCCATGCCAACATGGATACCAACCAAACTTCATATGATTTTCTTCCATACTTCGGTGATGAAGAAGAACCAGAGACCGTGGAACCTGTGAAGGATACAACTCCACCTCCTTCTCCAACCAATGTTGTATCTCCCTCTTCTCAAGAAAGTTCAAATGAACAGCCGCAAAGGACAATGAGTATTCAAGAGATCTATGAGGACATAGAAGAAGTTACTAATTTTGATTTTTTATATTATTTCTTTGCTGACAGTGAACCAATGAAATTTGATGAAGATGTTACAGACAAAAGGTGGAGACAAGCCATGAAGGAGGAGATCGATTCAATAGAGAAGAACAACATTTGGGAGTTAACAATTCTTCCCAAGGGTAATCGCGCAATTGGAGTAAAATAGGTATACAAGACAAAGAAGAATGTTGACGGAGATGTAAAGAGATACAAGACACGACTTGTGTCTAAAGGCTACAAGCAAAGGCACGACATTGACTATAAAGAAGCCTATGTACATGTTGCCCGCATGGATACGATTCATTTTCTCATCTCTTTGGCGGCGCAAATGAAGTGGAAGATCCATCAACTAGATGTCAAGTCAGCCTTCTTGAATGGCTATCTTGAAGAAGAAATCTATATTGAACAATTATTGGGCTTTGTGGTCAAAAACCATGAAGATAAAGTGTTGCGGTTGAAGAAAGCTTTATATGGATTAAAGCAAGCCCTACGAGCATGGAATAGTTGCATCGACAAGTATTTTCAATACAATGGGTTTACTCGTTGTCTCCATGAATATACTATTTACCTTAAAGTTCATACTAATGGAAATATATTACTTGTTTGTCTTTATGTTGATGATCTTATTTTCACGGGTAATAACCTAAGTTTGTTTGAAGCTTTCAAGAAAGATATGTCCCGTGAGTTCAAGATGACAGACGTAGGGCTCATGTCATACTACTTGGGCCTAGAAGTGAAGCAGATGGAGGATGAAATTTTTATCTCTCAAGAAATCTATACAAAAGAGATATTGAAGAAGTTTAACATGCTCAATTGCAACCCCATAAACACACCGATTGAGAGTGGGACAAAATTGTTCAAGTTTGATGACGGAGAAAAAGTGGATCCAACATTCTTCAAAAGTCTTGTAGGAAGTTTGAGGTACTTGACTTGTACCAGGCCAGATATACTCTTTGCAGTTGGAGTAGTAAGTCGCTCCATGGAAGCTCCTACCTCCACTCATTTGAAAGTCACTAGAAGAACTCTTCGTTACCTAAAAGGTACGATCGACTATGGGTTATTTTATTCTTCTTCTAGTGATTTCAACCTTATGGTATATTGTGATAGTGATTATGTGGGAGATATTGATGATAGAAAAAGCACAACTGGTTTTGTATTTTTCTTGGGTAATTGTGCTATTTCCTTGAGTTCAAAGAAACAGTGCATTGTTACTCTCTCGACCTGTGAAGCCGAAAATGTAGCAGCAACGTCATGTACCTGTCATGTTATTTGGCTGAAAAAATTATTAAAGGAGCTTAATTTTCCACAAATTGCAGGTACGAAGATTTGTATTGACAACAAATTCACACATGCACTTGCCAAGAATCCGGTATATCATGATCGAAACAAGCATATAGATACAAGATATCACTTCATCAGAGAATGCATTGCCAAGAAGGAAGTCGAGCTCAAATATGTGAAGTCTCATGATCAAGTTACAGATATTTTCACAAAGCCTCTCAAATTTGAAGATTTTCAGAGATTGAGATTAAATCTTGGAATGAAGAAGAAAAATCAAAATTAAGGGAGAAATTTGTGGGACCTATTTCAATAAAAAAAGAATAAAGAAAATAAAGAGAAAATGATTTTGAAAAGGAAAAGCAAAAGCAAAAGGAATGCAATTTGTGGGACCAATCAAAATAAATAAAGTCAAATTTGGTTGGTTACATTGCATGCGGACGGCTGAACTTTGGAAATTGTTGAACCAATCTGATTGGTTAGATTGGTGGCAATTTTGCCTATAAAAGAAGCTATTCGTTCCTCGATGAAAACACACCAAAACATAGAGAAGAGAGAGTAATCCCCAGATTGTAGTTTGTGAGATAAATAGTGAGCGTGAGTAATATTGTAGTGAAATATTTTAAATAAAGAGTGTTATTTCTTTCAAAATTGTAGTAGTCTCTTGACACTACTAAGTTATAATATTATAATGGTAATATTGTTTTGCTCGGGTATTGTATTTTACCCCGATAAAAGATTTGGTGTCGTTATTACTCTCTTGTGTTATTATTATTTGCCGTGGATATTATTCCTGGGCGGAATATTATTTTTCCCCAACAAAAGGAAATAGGATAGCTTGAGGAACCTGCTGCAAATGACTTAATGGGGTATCCTCCACAGAGTTGGTATAGAGCTTTCTCCGACACAGTGTGTAAGAATCAAGCAGTTGACAAAAATCTTACAGAGTTATTCAATGTATGGATACTTGAAGATAGGTACAAACCTATTATTGGGATGTTGGAGGGTATAAGGATCAAATTGATGAACAAGTTGAGAGAACAATAATATTTTGTGATACAATGGAGTGGCCAGTTTACTTCTAAATCCCTCAAATTATACACTGAATATTTGAAGATAACTCATGCTTGTAAGGTTGACAGCAATGGAGATAATGGATATGAGATATCAGAAAAAAGGAAACAAACACATTGTCAATATGATCATGAAGAGGTGTACTTGTAGGGTATGGGACCTCACTGGAATTTAGAGCCTTGATGACAACAACGGTTGATACACTATCTGAAATGCATTGGTTTCATAGCAAGGAAACATTCTTGCTTACCTACAAACATAAGTTGCAGCATGTAAAGGGTGAAAAATTCTGAAAAATTGACCCTTCTCAAGCAATGAAACCTCCAGAATTAGTCATTCAAGTTGGAAGGCCTAAGGTTAAGATGAGGCACTTAAGAGGCAGGGATAATTGAGCGGTTCTAGAAAAGGTAGAGTGATTCATTGTGGCAATTATGGAGAGCCAAATCACAATGCCAGAGGTTGTGTCAAGGTTACTTTAAACACAAAAAATTCATATACTTTTTTAAAGCGTTTACTAACTTATTATTCCATGTTGCAGAAAAAAGAAGTAGGGAAATGTGGGTATCTAAAGGAAAACAGAAGCAGCCTACGAAGGGCTTACTTGATGAAGATGATGATGGTCCAGTTGAGAAAGCCATTGATTTATCAGCACCATACAGTCACAAAACTGTGACCATACAGTGGTGTCTATGCCAACAGATCTTCCATACACCCACACAACTTAACTTGGAAGGTCAAAGCTGCTATGACCATAAATCAGTTGTAAGTTGAATATCAGAAGAGGATTGGGAAGTTGAAGCCAAGAAAGGGACAATATCAATAGTTTTAGGAAAAATGGTTCTGGACAATACTATTTCTACTGCTTATGAAAATACTCTTTTATTCGGTTAACTTGGTGATGTATTAACTGCTTATTACATTACTCTTTTGGTTAGGAAACTTAGTGATGTATTTAATGCTTATGGCAGTACTTTTGTCTTTATTTTGTGTTCAATTGAAATGCAAATATCTGCAGGTTTTATGACTTGGATCATTGACTGAATTATTGAACAGGTTTTGTGTTGATTTCGGTGAGCCTATATGGGGGTTTTATGCAGTCTTTTAATTAATTTTGGACTAGTTTTTTTAAGTGTAGAAATTTTGACTGCTTGCTACAGTTTTTAAAGAGTAGTTTTGGCATGGATTTGTGTTAGTTCTAATGAGCTTATATGGTGGTTTTTATGCAGTTTTTTTCTTAATTCTAGAGTGTTTTTTTGTGCAAAATTCTGCACTTTTGTTGCAGTTTTTTAGGAATGGTCTGGCATGAATTTATGTTGGTTTTAGTGAACCTAAATCAGTGTGGCAAGAAGGTAAAAAAGAGAGCTGAAATTAGTAGAATAACTTACAATTTCATTACAAACAACATAATACAGCCTAATATGCAAGATACAAATTACATTAACAAGAGAAAAAAAATTCATTCAAGCAACATTACTAAGACTGCAGACTTGATACAACCTAACAAACTAAATTACTTCATCAACAATGTGGTCACAAATCCAACAGACAATGCACAAGAAATCAGAAAATACATGACCCTCGATACGGAAGTGTGGCGGTCGAGGATTAGGGTTGTGGGTTGACAGATAGTTGAGAGTCTCTTCTAATCGTACTAGTAGTATTAGTATTAGTCTTGTATTCTCCTATTTCGAGTTCCTTGTTGATTAGACTATGTGGCACTATTGCCGGTAGTTTTCGTACTTTCTCTTATTGCTTCGTATTCCTAGTTTCTTTGTTATTACATACTGTGCTGTTTGTTTCTGTTATCTTATTTCCTTGCCATTGTTACTGTTTGTTTATTGTGTCATTTTCACTATTCCTGAGCCGAGAGTCTATCATAAACATCCTCTCTTCCGTCAATAAGGTAGGGGTAAGGTCTGCGTACACATTACCCTCCTCAAATTACACGTGTGGGATTGCACTGAGTTTACTATTGTTGTTGTACATCTTCATCTTTCTCAATTTCTCTTCTACCTCCCTTATTTGATCTCTTGATAATTATTTATAGTCTCCATAACACTCCCTTTTTCTTTAAGTTGTCTCTTTAAATTTTAACCGCATCCAATGGCGAACTCAAAGTATTGACTTTAACTGTAGCCACATCCAACTGAGCCTTAATATTGCTTATTATCACCAACGCTCTATTCGGGAGTACTTCGTTGTGCCACTCTCAATACCTGCAAGAATCAACCTGTCCAACCCAATCAAAAAGAGAACTTCAAATTAACAGCCATTATAAAAAGAGGGTAACTATTTTTTGTAAGAATACTTAACAATTATGCATATTCAATAATAAAACTAACATCACGTTTAGGACATTTATAAAATCTTATTTGGGGATTAAGGATTGTTGTTTGAGTAAAGAAGTGGCCAATTTCAGTGCAATGACACCTCTTCTTGGACGAGTTACTACTTCCAGACATTCTACTCCTTTTTGGATTAAAATTACTTACCTGCGAAACTTAAAAATTAGATAAGAGAGACTTTACAACAATAACAACAAACCCAATATATTCTCACAAGTGGGGTCTGGGAAGGATAGTGCGTACGCAAACCTTACCCCTACCTAGTGAAGATAGAGAGGTTGTTTCCAATTGATTCTCGGCTTAGAAAGAGTGAGAAGAAGAAGAAGGAAAAGAAGAGGAAGAAGAAGAGGGGGAAGAAGAACAAAAAAGAGAAAAGAAAAATAAAGGGTACTAAAACAAGGGAAGAAAAAGAAAAGGGAAAAAAGGGAATTAGTAGTACTAATTAAACACTAACAACAGGATATATACTACCATAACATAAGTGAACTAAAACACATGACGAAGTAACGATCTACTTAAGCATAAGAAGGAACCTGAGTGCTACTAAAGTAATTGGTATGAGAAGGAGAAACTTATAACTACCTAATACCTTTCTACCCTAATCCTCGACCTCCATACCTTCATATCAATGGTCATGTTCTCAGTAAGCTGAAGTCGCGCCATATTATGTCTAATCACCTCTCCTTAATACTTTCTTGGCCTACCTCGTCCTTTTCTCAAACCCACCATAGTTAGCCTCTCATATCTCCTGACAAAAGCATCAATGCTTCTTCTCTTTGCGTGTCCGAACCATTTCAGACTCGACTCTCGTATCTTATCCTCCACGGAGGCCACTCTCACTTTGTCCCGAATAGCTTCATTCCTAATCTTATCTCTCCTAGGATACCCACTCATCCATCTCAACATCCTCATAAATTTACCTTTAAGTCTTGACGGTACATTCCTATCACATAAGACGTCAACCGCAAGCCTCCATTTCATCCATCCCGTTCCAATACAATATGCAACATCCTCGTTAATCTCCTTGTTACCCTGGATAATAGATCTGAGATACTTGAAACTCCCTTTCTTGACTTGAGTATCAAGCTTCACATCCACGTGTGACTCATGAGCCCCGTCATTGAATTTGCACTCTAAATATTCTGTTTTATTCCTGCTCAACTTGAAACCTTTAGACTCTAAGGTCTGCCTTCAAACCTCCAACCTTGCGTTGACCCCGATTCGTGTCTCGTCGATCAACACTATATCATCGGCAAATAGCATGCACCATGGCACTTCCTCTGTATGTTCTGCGCCAGCACATCCATTGTCAAGGCAAATAAAAACGGGCTAAAAGCCGATCCCTGGTGCAGCCCCATCACAACTGGAAAGTGCTCTGAGTCCCCTCCCATAGTCCTCACCCGAGTCTTAGCACCATCGTACATATCCTTAATCACCCTAGTGTATGCTACCGGAACGCCGCTAACCTCCAGACACCTCCACAAAACTTCTTTCGGTACTTTATCGTATGCTTTTTCAAGGTCGATAAAGACCATGTGCAAGTCCTTTTTCCTTTCCCTATGCTGCCCCACTTATCTCCTCACTAGATGAATAGCTTCCGTAGTCGAGCGCCCCGGCATGAATCCGAATTGGTTCTTGGAAATAGACACGTTCCTCCTCATCCTGACTTCCACCACCCTCTCCCAAATTTTCATAGTGTGGCTCAACAACTTTTATACCCCTATAATTGTTACAATTTTGGATATTACCTTTGTTCTTGTACAACGGAACTATCATACTCCACCTCCCTTCCTTAGGCATCCTTTTCGTCTTAAAAATAACATTAAACAACTCAGTGAGCCACTCCAAGCCTGCTCGACCCGCGCTCTTCCAAAACTCCACTAGGATTTCGCTTGGCCCCATCGCTCTGCACCTACTCATCTTGCGCATAGCCCCTTCCATCTTCTCCACCTTAATACGCCTACAGTACCCAAAATTCCGCCGACTCTCGAAGTGCTCCAACTCATCCAGCACAATACTTTATCGGAGTGCTCCAGATAAGAGAGATTTTAAGATTCACATAATCTATTGAAGAACCTAGAAATTGAAATAAGAACTCTAAGTAGCCTTTTTTGCTATGAAGAATGATACGGGCAAGTGTGTGGGTTTTTATGTTTGGGATTTCTTTTAAGTTATTGTGGTCGATTTGGATCGGGTACTGGGTCATTTTAGATGATATAACGGTAGGAATTGAGGTGACCAAATAGTATAACGGGAGATATTTTTTATTTATTTCTGATAGTATATAAATATATATGACCCTTTTTCCGTATTGACAATTACCTGTGAATGCGATTAACCTTAAATTGGTAGGGCAAAAAAATTTATGAAGCACTTAAATTATATACCATTGTACATTATAAATGGAAACAATTGCTTGTTGTTTAGCTGATTATTAATTCATACTTATTATAAAAAGTTACCTATAAATATTACATTCATTTATAGCAAATACGAGACAATTTGCTTAACGGTAGAATAAATTGAGCTAGTTTAAATAATTATAAACTAGAAGACAACAACAATAACAATCTAGTAAGATCTTACTAGTGGGGTATGAGGAGGATAGTGTACAAAGATCTTACCCCTACCCCAAAGGGAGGGGAGGAGATAGGGAGGCTGTTTCTGGGAGACCCTCGGCTCAACAGATGAGACAATAATATCAGAAAAAAATAAAAGAATAAATCTGCAACAAGAAAAGAAATCAGAAAAATAATAATCACCATCGAAAGAGATAACAAATAAGTGGGAGGGCAATAATCCAATACTATGCAAAACGAGAAAAATAGTGTGAAAATAACATAAAACACTAGCCGGTACAAATTATAAACTAGACAAAAAATAACAATATATTGCATATTAAGAAATTATAGGAAAATAAAGTTGTAGTAAAAGAAAAAGATGCAAAAGTATTAACGTGTAATGTGTATAAGGAGAAACGACGTAGTTTGGGGTTTGCCGTCTTGTGACGCGCTTGCACAATCACCGTCCTTTTGCTCGAAGCAAAAACCACCACACTTTGCTCAGACAGGCACCATACTTCCGCTAACATTCCATTGGTAGTTTGGTACTACTATTATACTACTCCCTAGTAATAATTTACAATAAACCAACAAACAAAGAACATAGGAAGTAGCAGCAGATTAACTCTTCAGCATAAAACAAGCAAAAAATGGAGCTTTGAAACACTTCAAGATTGCAACTTTTTGCTTCAATGGAGTGTCTACTCCCAACCCCTTTTTCATTTTCTTCTTCTTTTTCCTCACCAAGCTGGTTTTCTCCATTTCTAGTACTAAAAAATAGTAGTAAACTTGGTTTCAACAGAAAATTATGTAGCTTTAACAGAAATGGAAGTAGGTCCACGAGTATGAGTCATGAAATGGAAAGCTCTGTTTTTTCTTACAAGAAGTTGATTCACTTTGCTTTAGAAGAAACCAACTCACATACCCAATTTGTCCCTTCTCCATTACAGGTATATATATTTTGGACTTTCATTAGTTTACACTATCTTTCTTTATGTTTGTGCTGAGCATGTGAGTGTGTGTGTTTTATTTATTTTTTCCTGTGTTTGGTGTGAATTTGATGGGTTTGAAACATTTTTTTGGTTTTGCAAATGCTGGGAATAGTAAGGATTCCAAAGGATTTTACCGAACAAATTATTGAATTGATGATTCTTCCATTTGTTAGTTTTGACTAGTTGCTGTGTTAAAGATTCTACTTTCAGAGTCAAAAAGGTGTTTTGAGACAGGAATGCTTAGGGCAGAGAGTTAGGTTAATTCTTATCTAATCAGAAGTATTAAACAAACTTGAACTCTTAACTTGTTTATCTCGTGTATGATGTAATAGTCAATGAATTTGATGAAAACTATGGAATAACAAGGTCCAAATACCAATAGAGACAAAACTCGCTAGGTCATCTCTTATAAGCCGAGTAGAATTACCGGTATCTGTGTTGGTAGAAGGTAGCAGGTACCCAATGGAACAGTCAGAGATGTGTACAAGCTAGTTCGGATAATACTATTATCCCAAAAAATGAGCTTACACCATATTTGGTTGGGTGAAGATAAGAGGGGTTAGAGGTATTTCCCTTATTTGGGTTAGGAAATATGAGGTAGAAATGGAGGCATATGTTACTTTTTTCACATTAATTTTTCTGTTCTCTCATAGAAGTGGATTGAAGAGGAAGTAAGTGTTCTTTATCTCACTTCAGTTGCACCAAACAACTGAAGAGGAAGAATGAATACTTATCCTAGTGGAAGCAGAAGAAATAGTACTCCTCCTTTTCCTGGAAACAAAAATAGGTTAATGCTACTCTGTTAAAGGACAAAGTAATCTTTTCTTGGATGAAAGTATCAACTAGTTAGAATATGAAAGATACCCCTTTGATTGTAGGCTGTGTTGTAGCTGATGGTATGATGTCTTGCAGCATAAATATGTAAAGGGGTTAAACTGGGGACGGGAATTAAGGAGCACTGGGGTTGGGAAATATCAAGGTAGCTCAAATAATGATGGGTGTTGGCAGGTATATAATCTTTATCTTTTAATGAAGGAAGTGGGACAAGGTACTACATTCTCTCACTTAGGTGATTCTATAAGTAGGGATAAGTTAATGATGGTGCAAGCACATAAAGCATAAATGAACACAAAATTAGAAAATAGTTGGAAACTGAGTATGTGTGTATCAAATAGTTATTGTGCTTCTTGAATAACACCGGATAGTTTCTTCCCGTACGTCTAAGCCTTGGTAGGCAAAGTTACTCGGTACATGTGTTGGTGAGAGGTATCAGGTATTTAGTAGAATAGTGTAGGTGCCTGCAAGCTGGTTGGGACATCACCATTAAAAGGGCTGCCCGGTGCACAAAGCATCCGGTGTTCACGCAGGGTCCGGGAAAGGGCCGCATCCCAAGGGGTGTAATGTAGGCAGCCTACCTTGACACAAGCATTAGTGACTGATTCCACGACTCGAACCCGTGACCGATAGGTCACAGAGAAACAACTTTACCATTGCTCCGGACATCACCATTACCAAAAGGAAAAACACTAGAAGTGAGTATGTCATCCTCGCATAAATAAGCTAGTTGAGTGCTGATTTCTTTTGTGATTGCTCATTGTACTGGTCAAATTGTTCTTCCCTTTGGAACACTGGCTTTATGTGAGGGAAGACTTGCTTTTCAACTTATACCAGCCACACCTAATTGTTTTCAGCTTCTCTTTGCTTTGAAATGCATGATTTGCATGCTGTAGGTTTCCTGGCTCAAGCTTTTTGCTTATATCTGTTTTCCAGTTTAAGGTTAAAAAGATGAGTTTCATGATACCTCTAGGAGTTTAAGTTGCCTTTGGAGTTCACCTGTTCACTTTAACTCTTTAGTCTTTAAATATATTCAAGTTTTCTTACCTTTTCATCCAAAATATTAATATATCAAGCTTCCAATTTGCAGCTGTTAAGGTTATCTTCAGAACTATGCTAGCAAAATGTGGTTAACCTTTTCCTTTCTACAGGAGAAATACAGCTCTTTGTTGGCCATGGATGACGAAACGGAGCTACAGATGCTGTCTTTTGAAGCCCCTAAAATTCGACTTCTTCGCAGTTTGTGTATTGAAGGGAGCGACGGCATGCAGGTTCAATTATGTTCAAGTTCATGTTGTAGCTATCAGTTATGTTCAAGTTCATATTCCACTAAATGAAGAGCATTTCATGCAGGTATTGGATTTTGCTGCATTCCCAAAACCGGAATTTGATCTGCCTATCTTCTGTGCGAACTTTTTCACTGCTGCTAAGATGAACATAATTGTACTGTAAGCTATTCTTTTAGGTGGTATTTGAGAAATATGTTACCTTTAAGCTGCATTTATAACCTTCAGAGGTTTACTATAAAGTCAAGTAAAGCATATAAATGGTAATTAGTTTCAGGATCTAGAGAACGTATCCAGAAATTCTGAGGTGGAAAATGTTTGAAGTTAAATCTTCTTCCGTCCCAATATTAGATGAAGTTTGATAATGAAAAGAGAAGTACTGAAGTGAAAGACAAGCTGTCTTCTAGTCAAATGAAAAGGAAACTGAAACATCTTTTTGATGGACAAAAGAGGTAATGATTGAAAGAGAATTAATATCATGAAAACAAAATTATATAACATTGCTAGAGCTTGGATAATGCTTTGACAGTGATTCTCAGAGTCGGAGCCAAGATTTTCACTAAAGCAAGTCAAAATATAAAGAAGTAAAACCCAGCGCTTAATGAAAGGACTTATACTTTGCATCTGAGGCAGATTCTCCAGTTGGGGACACGCCAAGGCGTTCCATATTGGTGGGTTGAAAAAGCCATCAAGGACTTGGATCTCCTTTTAGAAAGGGCTGGAAAACCCTTTAGATTTGAAATTCTTCGCGCCCTCCACCCACTTCCATTTTCCCGTGTGCCCAAAAGCCCACTCGCCCGGTTTTTGAGACCCTTTCTGATTCCCTCACCCAATCTCATGAGAAGCAAGCCCACTAGGCCCTGCCTTAACCTGTCTTCAGAAAGCCAGCCCTCACCAGGCTGCTGGCATTGCTAAATGCTCCGCCACGAAGCAAGGTCAATATATAGTGTATATACATAAATAAATAAAAATTACCCAGCTACATAGTGTAATTTTCCCGAAGGGGTGTCGGTCCTTGAATACATGTGGCTCCACCACTGGTCATTTTAGATGCATGCTTTTGAATCTTTTGATTGGAAGAATACATAAGAAATTTTGAGCATTTCAGTCTTGCTGATTTTATAATGACCGTTCATCTTACTAAAGAGTTTATAAATTACTTGGACGAGTGGTTTGTGCATCAGAATCTCTTGTCTTACATCCCCATGGGGTAAATGGAGAAGTAGTAGTTCTTATTTTTTGTTGTTAAATTAGAGGGAAAGAGGTAATTGGAGAAGTATTAGTTTATGTTTCACTGTTTCCATTTGTGGGGACAGACAAGTCGTTATCCTGCCTCTCGACAATACTTATTTGGTATTCATCACTTAATCTTGCCTATAGATTCACGTATAGAAAAATGGCTTATGTTTTCACTACTGCCAGCCTATAAGCTTTATTAAAGCACCAGGATTTCACTAAGGAGTGTCGAAATATATAAAATTAAATACGCGGTAAAGCCAAGGGGATTCAACATATAATATGCATAAAATAAATTTTTTACCTAGTAACACAGTGTGAGCTCCACCACCGAGTACTGTGGTATCTTGACTTGATCTTGAAGACCACTAGTTTATATAGCTTTCTTTCTTCCACAGTGATGATCAAGACTTCCAGATAAGATTTTATTGCAGTAATTTGCACGTGAACTCAGATGTGTTTGCTAAACTACTATACTATGATTACCTGACTTAAGATTCTGAGCTAGAACTAGGAAACACCGGTAGGCTGTCGGAATCCCACCCCTTGGGGTGCAGTACTTCCCCGGACCCTGCGTGAACGCAGATGCCTTGTGCACCGGGCTGCCCAACTAGGTAACACCGCTTATTCAGGAAGAACTATAGCGAAGAAATGAAAGGACAAAAAAAAATTCTTCTTTTCCACCTTGTAGAAACATTCTCATAAATACAATGCTTAGAGATGTCCTTGGTTTTCTGTGTATATTGTTTGAACCGTAATAGTTATTGATGTCATAGACCACTGAGGCTGAATCCTTATAAAACATATGCAGGGACCTTAACCCATTGCATGATGTCATGGATCAAGAAGATTACAAAGAGAAGTACTATAAAGGCTTGATTCCTTTAGGCCTCAAGTATTCTGAGGTAAATGATAATCTTATGACATTTGCACAACTCTAAAACATAATCATATTTCTGAAGCACTTTTCTTCTGAACCCTCTCTAAATTGATTATATGGAGACTTAACACAGACTTCATGCAGCTTTTACCCTGGGGAGGGAAGCTCACCAGCGAGTCTCTGAAATTCTTTTCCCCAATAGTCATATGGACGAGATTCTCATCTAGCCCATACAACCATTCAGTTCTGTTTTCTGCATTCAAGGATTATTACAAGGTACCAGTAAACTATGTCCCATATTCTCCCTTTTATGTAATCTCTTGTATATCTTAGTCTAGCACACTATATTTTTAGCTTTTTTTTTCAGAAGTTTTTATACGCAAGTATATGTGTTTAAGAAGGCCAGGTCTGTTCACTAGGCTTACTGCTTTATTTGTTTCTATTACAGGCATGGCTTGAGCTAATGGACAGATCAGAAGAGGAAACTGATGCTTCTCAAGTTGATCGCAATCGCGAAGCTCAGCATAGATACTTGACATGGAGAGCAGAAAAAGTGAGTATTTGTGCCTTCTCTTACATCAGTCTGGCATTATTGGTCAGCTATCATGATTAGCATGGAATTCAATTCTGTTAGTCTTACAGCGTACTGATATCCCAGTTGTGGAAGCATTATTGAAGAAGTAATTAAGTTTAACCTCTCCCTCGCCCTTTCCCTGTCTTTGCTTTCTTGGATTTCTTGGCCCTTGGTTAAAATTTTCCAGAAACTGAAAATGTACTGTTTATTTCAAAATTTGTTTCGTAGTAACAACATACCCAGTATTATCCCACACCGTGTGGTCTGGGGAGGGTAGTGTGTACGCAGACCTTACCCCTACCTTGTGAGAATAGAGAGGATGTTTCCAATAGACCCTCGGCTCAGGAAAGTATATCACCACATTAATGAAAAAATATAAAAGAAGGGCCAAGCAGAATAGAAACAACAAGACAGTAAGGTGATCAACAATGAAAGAAAACAACAGCTAGTCATAAAAACTTACTACGAATAGAAAACGAGACTGCATGCCAATACTACTGTTATGAACACTCTAGACTACCTACTCTACTACCCTAATCCTCGACCTCCATACCTTCCTATCAAAGGTCATGTCCTCTGTTCGTAGTAACTAAAACAAAAAGTTCTTGATAAATCAAATACTAATCCTAATCTAGGTTTGTATTAAGCTAACTGTTTGCAAAATCAGCCCCATTTGATTCAACTTGACCCCTCAACTCTCAGCTATTTTCCTCAAAGACTTTTAACAATCTGGAAATTCCTTATAAAAAATAAAAAAAACTCTGGAAAATAGAATTATTTTATTTATTACTACTATATTATCGTGCTTAATTCAACACTATATGCCATTGGTTTTTTTTAATGACCTTTTCTTCAACTTCAGCTCAAATGTTGTCTCTAAATACAACTCGATTGTTTTGGACATTTTTTTCCCTCTCAGTACGTTGGCGTAGTTCACCAATGGCATATAAAATATCTCTTTCAAATAGTTTTCTTATCTCTATGGGTAATATCGCATGTTATGTTCCATGTTACGTTCGTCAGGTGTCCATACCCTTAACATGAAGTTAAAATCTAGTTAGAAACCTTGAACACAAGGATCCAGCAAAGAATCTGAATCTTCATACGGCTGTTCACATTTGTGTTGCTACAACTTCTGCTCCATTTTCTCCACTTTGCTATTGTTCTTCTTGATCTCTCTATTGATGCAAAATGCTCTTTGTATCAGGATCCAGGTCATGGAGTTTTGAAAAGACTGGTAGGGGAAGCTCTTGCCAAGGTATATCATTCTTTCATCCAAAGAGGCAAAGACTCTCCTATGTCTTGTTATTGGCATCTCTAATTATTCCCTTTTTTTTTAATCACTCAGGATGTGATTAGTGAATTCCTATTCAATGGTGTTAACAAGCTTGGTAGCAAAACATTTCTTGATTACTTTCCAGAGTACAGATGTGAAGATGGTAGAGTAAACGAAAAGCGCAGCATGATTGGAAAATCATTTGAAAGTCGACCTTGGAATGCAAGAGGAGAATTCATAGGTAATAGGGTTAGCTAGTCTGATGTAATTTTTGCAATTTTCTTTATTTATTTTTTACCTAGTCGCCAATTCCAACTCGCTTGGGATTGAGTCATAATTGTTGTTGTTGTTGTAGTAGTAGTAGTCGCCATCGTCGTCTCTGTCAATGTTAATCTTGACTGAGATGCAAGAGGAGGAGATCCATAGGTGATAGGTTGGATCATCTGTTGTAATTTTCATAAGCTCTCTTTATTTTTCTTTATTCAGTCTCTTTCAATGTAAAAGTGTTCATTCTATCCCCTAATCACTTTCTTCATTCCCCTCTAATTTATATGTTACCTTGGTTTCCATGTTCTATCCATACAAAAGAGATCATAATTTGATCTTAAAATGAAGGTATATTCTCAACAGTTCAAAGATATACCAAATTTGTAAATGACAAAATGAGTAATATCTACCTAAATAGGTCGGAATCTTTGTAACTACTGTGGATTAATACCCTGTGTAATTTCCATTTTTATATGGATTATTGATTTCTTTTGTGAAATTTGTTATCAAAACGGATCTCCCTTTAGATTGCGATAAACTTTAAATGTTCTCGGTATACACATAATTAAGAATATAATCTCGGTATAAATTCAACATTATTTTACATTGCATTTGTTTGGTATTTCTCTTTTTGGTATAAGCATTACAATTGTATATATCAATTTCATTAACTATTTCAGATCAGATTCTACATGGGATAAAACACCTAACGACAAAAAAAGACTTTGTTTCATCTTTATTTACTTTTAAAAAAAGAGTATAATTTGTTTATTTACCTAACAAAAAGAGTAAAATTGTAAGGTTTTATACTATATACTATTATATATCCCAATTGTAGGAAAGAACGAAACATTAGATAAAAGAAACTTAATCATCCATTAATTACTAATCTATATATTACAATCCTTGCATATTTTTGTTGGCGAACCACACGACCCCTTAATTCACAAGGATAAGGGGTTATAGGGTTGGGAATTGCATATGTCCATCTCAGGCAACAAGTTAAGAAAACTTGTCATCAGACAGGACATCATAAGTATTCCAAAATCCAAATGTTAGAAAGGGGTAAAACTGTAGACACTTCATTTTTTGGTTCTTTTTGTGGAACCTTGCAACATTTCTTATGCAGATACACAACACATATCAGAGAGATTTCAACAACAACAACAAAAAAAGGGAAGATAAAGGAGTCTAACTCGCAAAAAATGTAAAATGTTATAATATGCTTTTTACATGATAGAACCAGAAAGCAGCAGCAAGGATCATGAATCTTTATAGGCATTCTTGGCTTCTATAAGCTCTTTCTTACTGTACGCTATCTACTACTTACAAATATCCTCACCTGTTGAAAAGAGTGCACATAAACTTCAGGCAGTTGCTTTGACATCAGAAAACTCAAAATGTGCATAGTCATTTTCAGATTACAGAAAATACACACAAAGCTGCATCATGTCTGTTGCCATGGTAAAATTGTGTCCATAAAGGTAATAACAACGACAAGAACTGGGGTCGGGTTGAAGAATCCTCATTGTCTATCTCGCTCCATTTAAGCCCATCATAGTCCAATATTATAAACAATTAGTTCTCTAGCACCCAAAATTCTCTGCATTTTCTATTGACATATTAATTGTATCAGACTAAAAGACTCTTAGCAAATCTGAATCCTAGTCCTACTAATTTTTTCCTATCACCTGTGTAATATCTTTTTTCTATAATTATATCCTCTTTTTCGCTACATCTACATGATTTTGAGAGATTGTAGGTCTTTCACGACTATTTCCATGTGATTTAAGATCTTCTCATCTTCTTTTAGCACCTTCACTCATCATGGTTTCACACCTACGTATCAGTGCACGTCTATAAAGGTAAGCTTATCACAAATTGAGAAGGAACAATTGGAGCACAAAAAAAAACAAATGCAAAAGACAGGAAAGAAATTTGAAACGAGGGGAGTGAAGAAAAAACTCAGTTTAATTCTCAATGATCAAACATGTCAAGATGATTGTATATGAAAATAGAACTTCAGGTAATTTCATATTCATTTTATGCAAATTAACTTGCTAAAAATACAGTATGGCATGAAACATATCATTCTTTTCACCCACCAACTATTCTACCGGGATAAAAAGCAGCTCGCTAAGGATTCCTTAATTTCAACATTCTCAATAGAAGAAAGTGGCATTAAGATAGATCAACTGTCTCTCACAAATCCGATTATAATCCATTAGATAACTCAAAAAACGATTTCAAAGGCCCATCACATATTGGCTCGTGTAAAGCAAAGTTTAGCCTGCAGCCTAAAATCCAAAATAAAGCTGGCTTTTGGGATCAACTACTGAAAGAATTTACTTGACTACTATGAAGTTACCACTAAGGGGTGTGGTGAGATGGTTGGGATCCTTTAACCATTAACAGGAGGTTTTGAGTTCAAGTCCTGAGAATGGAGAACCTCTTGGTAAAGAGTACTATACCCCCCTTAGTGGACCTACCTAACGTAAGGTCATAGGGTTTTGGATACAAAATAGCTACACTAAGAAAAATGACTACAATAAAGTTCCTCATCTCTTGGTGTCAGAGGCGGATCCAGGATTTGATGGTTACGGGTGCCACTCAGGGGTGAATGCACATTTATCGAAGCAGTGTCAGGCGACATCGCTTTGTGAACTCTTTTGCTAAATATACGTATTAATACTGCGAGGAAGCGGATAAGTAGGAAAAAATGACATCACTTGGCATGATTTGTCTCTTGGTATATTGGTTATGTGCTTGAATATGATCTAAGAGGTCATAGGTTCAAACCTAAACTAGCACATCGTTTTTTTTTTGCCAAATATTTGAGAGAATCTATGCAGTTAAAAGTTGTGATGAAGTAGAATTTAATTCAGGACTTTTTCTGACTTAAAACTCAACAAAATCAATAGACTAAAGTTATTTCTTGTCTAGAAGTATGATAATTAAAGTTATTATTCCCGTTCTTTTATAAATTTTGACACCGCTTATAAAAATTCTGTGAATGTCCCTGGTGCCACTGCTTTTAATGCAAACCGGCCATAGTGAAGAGATTGAACTTGGGTGCACATTTAGTCGGTTCGATCCATTTTTAATTAATTCGGTTGAGGTCGGCTATATGAATCATCATTGGCCACTTCTTAGTCCATATATTGCGAGAACTAAAAGTAGAGTTAATCTTAGCTTATTCCTTTTTCTATGTTAAACTTTTGCTTGTACACATTATAGATACTAAAAGTTTTTGATTCCTCCCTGAGCTTTAAAAGTGAAGGGTGAAGTGCAAATGAGGAAAGTGTTACAGTAAATACCTGGACACCAAGCAGGGGCGGATCTATGTAGGGGCTTGGGGGTGGTACGCCACCCGGTCGCTCGAGTAAAATCATATATATGTACTAGTATTTTCCTCAAAATATTGAACATATATAACAAGTGGCACCCCAAGTCACAAAATGACTGCAGGTGCCATGGTTAAAGCACTGAAACTCCACATAAAATACTCAGGATCGAGGCTCTGTTGAAGTTCTAGCTGTTTTGCTGTTATCTTCTTTCTTTATGCTCCTTTTAAATTCTTTTAATTTCTTCACCTCTGTTATTTACTCTATTTTGTACAATCTCCTTTTTATTATTTATTTAAATTGTATATTTGCTTCCTTTTTCTTTTCCTAGATCTTCATTTTATTTGAATGTGATTTTAATCATTTTCTCTTTTTATCCATCTAATATTATTTTATTAATTTTAGAAACTAGAGTGATGCATCAAAGACATAATATTAATCGAGCTATATGTAGATTGAAGTGATGTATTTCCTAATTTAAAATTTTATTTTTCTTATATTTTTAAATCATATTAATCGAATTAGACCGAATTGGATAGAACTTATTCGATTTTGTGATCACATATTCATTTATGCATAAAATAATCTTTTAAATTGAATTGAATTAATTCAAAATGGACAAAACTGAGGCCTAGTAGCTGTTGTTGTAATATATGACTAAGCATGTAAACTACAATTTGATCAGTTATATATTTTTGATTAATCAACTAACAATGTTCTAAATATTTAACAGTTTTTTAGTTCTTAAACCAAATGATCACGACCAAAATTCAATTTAATCGACAATTAAAGGACCAGACATGCAACAATCCCTAAGAAAGATTCAATTATCTACTACTGGTTATAACTATCAAAACTAGAAACGTAGACCATCATAAAACTGGGGGGATCTAAAATCCATTAAAATTGTCAGAAAAATGCTTAGATGCTAACACCGAGAATCATCAGTGAACACATTATGTAAAGTCAGATAAATGATACCAGTGGCTGAATTAAGTAGAAGGACGAAGAAATATGCGCCCTTCTCTAGATCACCGACAAGTGACAACATATGGGTGACAATATCTATATTGACATAATAACTCATCAAACAAATCGTTGCATATAGTATTAAGTGACTTACAGTTTAGTGTATGTGTATATATAAATTCAGGGCTTCCTCTGATAATCTGTATAAGAAATATAGTTGAACTGCACTTAATTGTTCTGAGGAGCTCTAAATAACTCCTGCCACTTCAGCGGATCAGTTCCTGGTCCATCACCCTGCATTATTTCATGGTACAGTGGAAAGAAGTAATGATCTGAAAATTTGCTGTCCACAGAATATTTTGTATAAATGTCAACAACATTCAAACAAAAAAAAAAAAAAGTATTACCACTAGGTTTTGAATTATGCTATTTCGAATGTTATGGGCATAACTTGAACCAGGCCCAGAATTCTTTCTTTACTTTATCTCAAAAAGATTCTAGTTTGTGATCGAGCACGACCAGGTAGGAGATAGGATAGGTTGCAGCTATAGTCAGAACAGAAGCTGGCTACCATTCCTCTTCATTCCCAGCTCTTCCCCGTCCACTTATATAAAGCCTCATATCATCTCTCCAAGTCCAGTAACTTGGCAACTGGATTACAACACAATGCTCAATTCTCAAGGAGATTACAGCCAACTTTGTATAGGCTCCTCGTTACTCCCTCCGGTCCACAATAAGTGACCAATTTGCTTTTTCATTTTGGTCCAAAATAAGTGTCCATTTATGTAATCAAGAAAAAATTCAATTTGTTTTTACTCTTTTACCCTTATGTGCATATCCCTAAAAAGTTTTCTTACTCCTCACATTAATATTTAATTAAGGGTAGTTTAGTCATACTAGGTATTTTTGTATAGAATTTAGTATTTTCTTAATAGGCGTGCCTAAAGCAAATTGGTCACTTATTGT